TATATATTTTTTTTTTTGAATTCCTAAAGTATTCTATTCTACTGACCACACTACTCTTTTTCATGAAAAACATTCCGTTGGTGTGATTTAAGTCGAGTTTTTAGGGCTCTTGGTAATTTTGATGTGTCGCCTGAGAGAACCTCTCAGAATTTTGGCTAAATTATATATATATATATATATATATTTTTATTTATACTTATTATAGAAGATTTTAGATACAGTTGAAGTGCACAGACCATGTTTTTTTAGGTTAAGTGTCATGATGTTATCAGTATTGATCATTTATCCTGGTCTCATTTGAACAGGCGTGTGTCACCGTTCTATATCCACAGCACAATGCTGATGTAGTTGTGAACAAATTCTATCTCCATTTGAACAACAGCGATTGAAGATGTGTGTGAAGCGCACATCGAGGAGACGTTTGTAGAAAGAAGTTAATATTAAGCAGCTGAAATCAACACATTGACAAATACTGTTGCATAATAACGCTAACAATTTTTTGACAAATTGTGAATATTGCTGCGGAGAGCTTACCATCAGACGGGCTGAGTTTGGGCAGTGTATTGGGTGGGATGACAGAGCCCGGGGGTCCGTACTGAGAAGAGGGGCTAATCTGAGTAAGGGGATCATATCGTTTATCCCCCGCACTCACTTTCTCGACAGACTCCACCCTAATTGAGGTGAACATAAAAGTGGATGAAGAATGAATTAAAAACACAAGTGATTGCTGTTGAAAGGCAGAAGAAAAGCAGGAATGTTTTTTTTTTTTTTTTGTTTTGGTTTTTGAAAGTGGTGACAAAAGGTGTCTGGTTCTACCTGTTGTACGGGTACAACAGTTGAGCTGGTTTGGCCAGATCGTGGAAGCGATTGATGCCAGGATTGGGGAGGCCCATGGCTTTGCTGTCAAAGCTCCGACGATCAAAGTAGGACAACTGCTTCCTGTAGTACTCCTCGTCCTCGTCCAGGTCATAGTGATTGGTACGTATTACATCATCAAGCGGTTTAGTGTGAGGCCTCTGTGGCTCAGGAGCCCTAAAAATGAGGCACACAAGAATAAGGCATCATTTCGTGTGGAGTTTTGTGCGGACATTTCCTTTTATTAAAATTCTCATGCAAATGAAGAAGACCCAGGATGCCTGTCTTGTTTGGTTTACACCTTGAATTTCTTTGGCTGCACAGCTACTGGAATCCACTAGATGGGGCTCAAACAATGTCTGTGTCCAAGTGTGCAAACTGTTCCCCATTCAGGGCACTATTAAATTAAGGGGGTCATGCCATTTTGTAGGATAAATGGAGGGCACTCATAATTACCCACAATGCACTTGGAAAAGTAGTGTCCATCAATGTTCACTCAACAGGTTAATATTAGACCACAATGCATTGCGAGCAGGAAAAAACATGACGCAAGTGCAAATATCAACGCGATAATGTAACTATAAACCCCGGAAATAATTAATTTTATTGAAATGAAAATATGGACAACGAAAGAAATAAAATACAGGTTAAAATAAATATATATATATTTTTTCCACATCAATAGCCAGAGATCTTAATGCGCCAGTGAGTCAAGACAAGTATGGTGGTCGAAGAGGAGCAAATAGTTGATTGTCCGAATCGGCAAAAGGAATGAGGGGAACTACTATCTAGTGCTAGATACAGTGTGGGACTAGATAGTCAATAAGGAGTTAGGGAATAAGGGCGGACATCCTGACACAGCCAATGACTGCGTGACAGAGCAGGTATGGGGGGGTGGGGGGGGGGGTCCTTTATTCACCTTTTTTGTCACCTGAAGGG